GGTCAGACAGCCGGCGTTGGCGCCACCGTCGCGTGGTGGCCCTAGTGTGGGAGTGGAGGCAGGTGGGTGGTTTTGGCGCACGGTCCGAGAGTTAATGGGTTCGGGCTATGAGGTAAGTTTATGGGTTTTTGTATTTTCTTGGTTTTTGTGGCTGTTGGGTGTTGATCTTGAGGTGTAGGGCTATCGATTTTGGGGTGGTGTGTGTGCGTCCGTGTGGGGTTGCAGGCAGTGGTTGTGGTGGTGCCTTTGGGGTGAAGGAGTTGGCATTGGAGGCTCGAATGGGTGGCTCGAATGTGGATTGGATGGTTGTTTGATGTTGATGGCTCGAAGTTTGGTAAGGAATTGCAGGTGAGTTTTGGTTGGATTGGTGGTTTGACAGTGTCGTGAGTTGGTGATTGAATTTGCAGTGTCGTGAGTTTCCTGTTGATGCTAGAAATTGATGTTCTAGCATCAATAGTGAATTCACTGTAAAATGGATTTAGGAACAATTTTGGGGAAGATAAAATTTCCTTACCAAATTTGGTTGGCTGCGTGAGTGTAAGGAGAGGGAGGCACAGATTTTTAGGAGCTTAAATGAGCCAGAAAGTTGAGCTATAGGGATTTTCATAATTGGCCTAAGTGGATTTGACCTAAATAATCGGGACTTGGGCTAACAGAATTTTGGACTTTAAATAATAAAATATTGTACTTAAAACTATTAAAATTGGGATTTAAGAATGATAAGGAATTTGATACTTTAAAATATTCGAGATTGGAATAGTTTTAAATTGGTTTTACAACGGTTGGACGAACACGCTTTCAATTTAAAATTTGGGTTTAAAACTTAGCGATACGTTTTTCAATAAAAATAATTTTATATTATTTAAAATTTCTCCATCGCTACAAAAACCTTCCCTGTTTCCTTCAATCTGGTGTTATTAATCAGAATTATTATTCTGTCGCATGCCTCACAGACTAAAAGAGACATGCGCGTATGTGTATCACTGTCATGTATGCAAATAATGTTTTGCATTGACCTTTTTTCTACAGGCTTCTTCTATGCGTGCTCCAGCACAACAATTTCTTTTTCTGAGGGCTATTGGTGCTCCAGCATTTGTTGTATCTTTGGCTCTTCAAGGCATTTTTCGTGGTTTTAAGGATACTAAGACGCCTGTATATTGTTTAGGCAAGTACCAAAGGTTTAATTGCCTAAAGATTGTACATTAAGCAGTCATTTTCCCAATAATTTATTGAAAAACTGAGTAAACGTGTATTGGATTGAAAGGCATAACTCCTCTTGTTCTTATTTCCTACCTCATTTTGTCTTACTTTCCTTGAGCTGATATGCATTTCTCTGTAGTCAAAAGTAAAATGAACCTTTGCATGCGTTTATGCAGTCCCAACGACAGGTGTTCTTTGTTTTTTCACTTTTGCAAATTGATAACAAAAAGCAATTGAAATAGGTTAATCATCTATCAAGAATTGCTTTCCACTACATCTAGCAATGAAGTGTAGTAGTGAAGGGAGTAGTGAAAATGGATTCATACCAAAATGTATTTGGAACAAGGTTTACTTTATTGTTGTTGTTGTCAATGTTTCGGATATTAGTCTTCATGTTATGTCTATAATTATATTTCATTTCTTACGTTGTAAGTATAGAATAGGGGCTGTAATTAGGAGATTTGACGGGGGATTTTTGGACTGTAACTAGAGAAGTGCTGTAATTAGGAGATTTGACACAATATGTTTAGGCTGTCATTATGGAAACAACTCCTATATAATGAGAAGAAACTCTCCATTGAGAGGCATCGAGACAAATCTGATAGTCATATCATCCATGAAAAATTTCCAAAAGGCCTTTTTTGATCTAGTTTGATTAATTTTTTGCGAGCTTTCTAATAATACATCTTGGTTCCCACTTATAATAAACTGTTAAGTATCAACTGTAAGGAATAAAGTGATTATGAGAAATGAACAGCAGCAATGTATTGATGGAAATAAAGATGATTACAGTAATGAAAAGAGAGCCTCAATAGCCTTTCGAGAGGGCTATCACTCTCCTATTGCTACTACTTGTTAACTTTTGCCTCCTACTACATTCATTCTCCTCTCTATTTATAAATGACCTGTAACTACTTTGCCTACCTAAGCTACCGAACTAACAGAATTTGTTACATTCAGCTGCTTCTCCGCTCTTCCTGGCCCTTTTAAAATATGTGAACTTAATTGGTGGCTAATCATAAACTTCGACAGCATTAATTATCCACTGTAATACTTTCTGCTATGTTTCTACTGATTATGTTCACAGTAATTATGTACACGAACTTTATATTTCTATGTATATTATACTTTTTGCTAATTGCGCTGTTTCTCACTGCAGGCTTTGGAAATTTTACTTCTATATTTCTATTCCCTTTACTTATATATTATTGTCAACTGGGTGTTTCTGGAGCTGCCATTTCTACAGTTATATCACAGTGCGGCTCCTTTTCTCATTGGTCTCTTCAATACATTTTGTATTCATTTATGTTGTGACCGTCCTCTGTTTTAATCCTAATTTTTCTTGTTCTTGGTTTTACTTGAATATTTAGTTTAATTCCATGGTCCTTGCGTCCAGATACATCGTCGCTTTTGCAATGATCTGGTGTCTGAGTAAGAGAGTGGTGTTATTGCCTCCGAAACTTGGAAACCTGCAATTTGGTGGTTATCTAAAATCAGGTGACTTGTGTATGTTGGTCAAAGTAGTTAATATAATTATTGTTAAGTTTCTATAGTGGAATATTTTATCTGCTAGCATTTTCTTGGTTAATTTTGAGAGGAATGGACTGTATACATTGTCATGGATTTATTCTTATGAGTGGCTACCCGACACAGAAACTATTCTAATGCTTGACTGCTGTAGCATGGCAGGCCTTTTGAGAATGATTCTGAACCTTAGCCATATAAAATATACACACGCATTCACCAAGATAGAAGGCGGCATGCATAAAATTAGGATTTATTGCTATCCTTGATTCACTTTTTTTCTCGAGCCCCAGATTGAATTCCAACAAATCTTTTCAATATGTGAAATTTCAACTTACTGAAGTTGATTTTCAAGATTTATCAACATTTACCTACAGTTTACTGAATTCATCCATTGACTTGACACATGCTCGTATGACTTAGCACTGCTAACAGCCTTGAAACTCTACCTACATTATTACCTAATGATCTGAATTCTTCTGTATTCAGAACCATTAGCATCAAAAACTTTAAACAGCTATAAAGGTAGGGTTATAAATATAGAAGGAAAACAGCTTTAAGGGTAGCGTTATTAATATAACAGGTTACTGTATGCACCTAGTCAGCATGTCCAAAATTTATGCACTTAGCATCCTTAC